TACCGTACAGTGGGTCACCGGCGGTAAAGAGTCGGACTTGGCAAACCGGGATATCATTGTGCCGGGAGTTACGGTGTTGCGACCGTTATTCAAGTCGCGCAGTCATAGCCTGGGCACGGCGTCTCACTGGGCGCATAATCCGGCCGGGATTCCGACAGCCCGGGCCGCAGCTGGCAGCCCGGCCCCGCCGCCCCGGTTGCAGGCCCGGCCCGGCTCGGAGTGCCGCAGACGCGGCGGCTCACACAGTCAGGCTCAGTGAAGTCGTTTCGCAATGTAACGGTCTGAAAAAAGACCACGTGCCCGCGTTCTCCTCCTCCTGCTGCTGCTTCCCCTCCTCGTCGCCAGTCTTGCTTGTGCGCTGCCTTCCCACCTCCGCCTCCCCTCCCCTTCGTTCCAACGAGCAGCTTCTTGCTGGAATAACCATTCTCCTCGTTGAAGCTGTCCAGGAGGAGGTAGGAATACCCTGATCCCTCTTTTTGATGCTTCTGGTTTCGGACGTAGAAATATTCGTATTAGTGCCAAATGCAGTGATACAGAAAGTTACTGAAGGCTGTTATAAAGTCATTGACTGCTTTTGCTGACCAGTAGAAAGAAGCTTTCCTTGGCTCGACGTGCAGACCATGTCGTCTTCGAACACACAGTTGTTGCCTCAAAAGGAAGCAGCTGTTTTCAAAACCATAGTGGTGCGTCTGGTTAGTTGGAGACACTGCTGTCATCTAATGCATTTCTGGCAGAAATTTTACGAGACAAAGCAATATAAAAAGGGTTTGAAAGCAGCTGACTCCATTCTCAAGAAGTATCCAGAACATGGTATGTGTTTGCTCATCACATTCCTTTCGCCTTTACTTTTTTTTCAAGGTGAAACTCTGGCCATGAAGGGGTTGACTCTCAATTGCATGGACAGAAAGCAAGAAGCTTATGACTTTGTGCGACTTGCTCTGAAGAAGAACATGTTGAGCCATGTTTGTTGGCATGTGTATGGTCTTCTCTACCGGTCTGTTCTGCAAGTTAGCGCCTCAGAGCACTGATTCCATCACAGGTCTGATCGCGATTACAAGGAGGCGATCAAATGCTACAAACAGGCTCTTCGACGGGACAAAGATAATGGCCAGATATTGAGAGATTTGTGCCTCTTGCAGATTCAGACCCGTGAACTTACGGGATTTATAGAAACACGCAGGCAGCTACTGGCCATAAATCCAAAAAACCGGAACAACTGGGTTGGGTTTGCAGTCTCCCATCATGCAGCTGGAGACCTAGATATGGCCTTGAAGGTCTTGGAATCGTATGAAGGAACTCTAGAAGATACCAGCAACGCTGATTATGAACATAGTGAGATGTTGCTTTACAAAGCTCAAGTTCTTGAGGAAAAAGGTGAATTGGAAAAAACTTTGGCTCATCTGGAAAAGTCAGAACCTCTCATTGTTGACAAACAGTCCTTTCGAGAGAAGCGAGCAGAGCTTTTGCTCAAACTTGGCCGGTTAGAAGATGCTGAAGCGATGTACAGGGAGCTCTTGAGTATCAACTCCGACAACTATCAGTACCATAAGGGACTGTTGGAAGCACGAGGTTATACAGATGATGTTGTAGCTGGGGGTGTGAAGCAGGACGAGCTTGTTTCGATTTACAGAGAATTGAGTCAGATGCACCCAAAATCAAACGCGATCAAGCGAATCCCGTTGGATTTCCTAACAGGCGATCGATTCAAGGAGTCGTTTTCTAGTTATGTGAAGCCCTTTTTGAGAAAAGGAGTTCCCTCTCTTTTCTCTGATGTGAAACCGCTGTATTCAAAACCAGACAAGGTTCAGATAATGGAAGAAGTTATGGTTAAGAATCTTGAAAGATTACGATCTGAGCAGAAACTTGTCGGCGAAGATGATGTTGACCCGCCTGTTACTGTGCTGTGGGTGCTTGAATACCTTGCGAACCATTTCGACAGAAAAGGAGACAGTCCAAGAGCACTTCAGCTTATTGATGAAGCGTTGGACTACACACCAACAGTTATCGACTTGCATCTTACCAAAGCTCGTATTTACAAGCATGCTGGTGATTTTCAAAAGGCTTCTGATGAGTGCGAAATAGCGCGAAAAATGGACCTAGCTGATAGATTTTTGAACACGATGAGTGTGAAGTACATGCTGCGGGCAGACAGGAGGCAACCAGCTGAAGGCACAGTGACATTATTTTCGAAAGATGGGGACAATCCAAACAATTTGTTTGATATGCAGTGTATGTGGTATGAGATCGAGTTTGGCCGAAGTTGTCTTCGCTCTCGACTGTATGGCAAAGCATTGAAGAAACTTACTGCTGTAAATAAGCATTTCACTGACATAATTGAAGACCAATTTGATTTTCATACGTATTGCTTACGCAAAATGACCCTGCGAGCCTACATGATGTTACTTCGCTGCGAGGATACAATCTACAAACACAAGTTCTTTGTCAGAGCAGCATTTTCTATTGTACAATGTTACATAGCTCTTCATGACAATCCTGCATCAGCTCAGGAAGGGGAGGAAGACCCAGAGCTCAAGGGCCTTTCTGACGCCGAGGTGAAGAAAATCCTCCGCAAAAGAAGAAAAGCGCAGGCCAGAGCCGAGGAGGAATCTGCAGATGATAAAAACAAGGACAAAGGGAAAAAGAATGATCCTAAGGGTAAAGGAAAGACAATCAAACAGGACGATCCTGATCCTGATGGCGAACAACTTGCGAAAGTTGAGAAGCCGTTGGATGAGGCGAGCAGATATGTCTCAATTCTCCAGGAGCATGCTGGAAATCTGATTGAGACGCACCTGCTTAGTATGGAAGTGTATATGAGGAAGACAAGACTCCTCAAAGTTTTGCAAGCTTTGAAGAGAGCTGCAAAGATCGCACCGAGGGGCATCCGGGATTGCACAGAGGGTTATACATACTTCTTTGCAGTTACTTTATGAATGATTTTTGTGAACAACAGAATTGTTCGATTCCTCATGCACTTGAAACAGAAGAGAAGTGAATTGCATGCTTTAGTCGGCCAGGTATTCACAGTCTTTGATGCCAGGAAAAGCAATTTGCTGATCTCATTTTGTATTTATCAGGTACTTGACAGTGAATTAAGCAATTCAGAGCAGTGGGGTGTACCCGGTTTGAATCAGTCGGCGCAACAGTACAATGATGAGTACTTGAAGCACTTTGGGAAGGTGTCTATATCCCACGCCATGGCAGGTAGCTGTCTGTATATCTTGAATACTATGCAGTTGTGATAATGGTTGTTCAAAAGCTGCAGGTTCTCTAATTGAGCTGGACCAGTCGCAAGCAAATCGAGCGGCTGAGATTGTTCTGGTTAGTTCTCCAGATTGGATTTGCAATGTTGATTAATGGGTTGTTCTAGGGAGTAGAGCTTGGCAGTGTATCTTTGAAGGAGTGCAGTGATGTTTACAACAACATGAAGGTATCTGGTCAAGTAGCATTTGACAAGTGGTTGAGTCATTGATATCAGGAAGCTGGAGTTCCTGACGACAAATGTGAAGCTTTTGCTGCACGAGCGAGGTATGCTTATTCCCTTTGGAATGGTTCGATCTCAGAACTTTCATAGGGATAAGTTTCCACTGGCCACTGTTTTCCAGAAAAAGCAAATTGTTTCATAGTGCAGCCTCAAGCGCTTTCCACATAGTCATTGTCTGATCAAACTCATTTCGATCAATTTTTTATTTTTTTCATGGGCGGGCTAATGCAGCGTTATGGAGACAGCAAATGCACCATGTGAAATACGAAACGAGCAGATTTTGATCTGACCGAGGGCAGAGTTCACGGGACAAAGGTGGAATGTTGTGCGAAGAGTTGTCACAACTTTCCTTGGATAGAGATCTTGGTGGGCACACCATGGTGTCCTACAGCTGAGCTTATTGAATCTTTGATACATTCCTTGATCATAGAATCCAGCTTCACTGAGACAACAGGTGTAAGATAAAATAAAAACCACGTGACAGGACCTTTCATTTCTTGACCTTGTTCCTCAACCACGTGTTTCAATTCTTCTGAGATTCTCTCCCTTGTTTCTCTGTCTCGGATGGACAGTTCACGAAGCAAAGCATTCCCTATATCCTTCACAGCTTCTACCATCATTGCACGCATTTTACTCTCGAGGCTGAGAAAAAGCAACGAAGCACCCGCCCAGGTGGCTGGTCACAAAGTCTCCTCTTCAGTGACAAGAATTACCGCAACTCCATCGCTCGAATCTGTAGTTGGAGGTCGGAATCAACATCCGGATCCAAGTCTACATGGCCGATAAGAATGAAGGAAAAAAATGTACAGGCATGGTTCGACCTGCAATTGTTGCTGTTTTGGCTTCAAGATCGTCGGATGAAGTATGCTTTTCTTTAGAGTTGCTGGTTCTCGATGTCTCGTCTTCCAAGGGTAGTGGTGCAGGCTTCCTGTAAGATGATTACTCCATCGCAGCTCGGCAAAGTTTTGGTTTAACCATGTTTCGATGAGCTCCTGGAATCTTTCAAGAGATTCTCTCTTTTGATTTGCACTCTCTTTTGACTTGGGAGAAGAAAGACTATACTTTCTTGTTGATGAAACAAAGCTCAATTTCTTCTTTTTTCCACCGTTGAGATCTGTGTTGTTATTGACAGCAGTTGCTGCTTTCCCGAAAATTCTTCGTTCCATCTCTTCGCCTTCCTGCAAGTCGGGGATCCCCTTAAATATCTGCTTCCTGTCTTTCTTGCTTTCTTTTTCAGTCTGCCCTTCTCCCTCCTTCCTTTCGACTGCTGTCCAACCTCACCACCTATCGCCTTTCATTCACGATTGAAGTTTTTTTCTCTCAGAAGTGACAAGTCGGATTCTGCCGCAGTGCCGGCCCGGCGGCGCCGGGCCCCATCGGACGGCGGCGCGGCCGCCGGCGCGGCCGCCATGCCCGGCAAACTTAACTTTGAGTAAACCCCGGCCTGCCAGACTCTCGCAGGACGGTACGAGGGCCTCCAAGTCCAAGAAGCAGTAAGAGGGTTACTCAGGCTGGAGTCACGAACGCCTCAGCGTACCGTACTGATCATGATCTTTTTAACTTAACTTTGAGTAAAGGATAAGTCGGTATTGTCCTCGTACTGATCTACAGGGGGACTTGTCCTGCGCGCAGTTAAGTGAAGGTATCCGTTAAGTTTGGGGGACAGCAGTCGGCAGGATTAGGTTTGGTTCTCGCTGTCTTTTCTCTTCTCGCCGTTTGGCCCGGTGTGCGACAGCCTGTGTGAACTTAACTTTGAGTAAAGATCTCCAACTTAACTTTGAGTTAGGACCGGTGACGGTCACCGGTCAACTGGCCAGTTGAACTGAGCGGCCCGGGCCTCCCGGTCCGATCCGAGACCGGCCCCCGGGCCCGGCATGGAGAATCATGCTTGCTTTTCAAAGATTTTGACGTCCGTTTCAGATCGCATGTTCGTTTCGTTCATGCTGTCGTGAATTCGTGTTGACATGCAGTGCAAGGAAGGTTGATAGTTGATATGCCTTACTGCAATTTCTCTCTACTCCTCTCTCTCCTTGGCCTTTGTGTTGTCGAATCAAATCTTGATATACACATCGATGGGGTCTTTCCTGCTGCTGGACCAGCTCACGGCGGAACAGAAGTTACTGTTGTGGGAAGCAATCTTCTTTTGGGAAAGCTTGATGGATATCATCTAACTCTCTGCAAATTTGGTGAATCTCACCTTATATCGCCTGCCATTCTCTCCTCAAGTCTCATAGTTTGTGCATCGCCTCCTCAAGATGTGCCAAACACGAAGAGCGTTGCTCTCAAGGTTTCCACAGACGGCGGATACTCTTTTTCTCAAGAATCTTTGGCGTTCTATTATGCTGGTAATAACCTTTTCTTGCTCACAGAAAGATTTTGAATATCCATTTTTGCAGCTCAAGATGTTGTCTCTACCTTCTTCCCCAACAATGGACCTGAGCGCGGAGAAACTCTTGTTCGTATATCTGGGAACGGGTTTGAGAACACCCCCTCGCTGTCCTGTAAATTTGGAGAAACGGTGGTGTCAGCTGCTTGGATATCTGGCCAGCTCATTGAGTGTTTCTCTCCTGCAATGCCGGAGTCTACCGTACGGCTGGGTGTATCCAGCAATGGTGTAGACTTTTCTTACGGCTCGATTGATTTTGTGTATACAGGTATGCACAGTGTCGTTTCATTTTTGGCTTGTATTCTGACTCTTTTCGAACAGCACAACTTCAAATCCGTGATGTAAGACCAAGGTTGTTAGCAAGAGGCAGTAATGCACGGATTCAGTTTTATGGCTTCGGATTCGTTGATAGTCAATCTTTGGTTTGCCGAATCGATTCAAAAATTGTAACGGCCGTGTACATATCATCTTCATTGGTGGCCTGTCATGCTCCGCGTCTAAGAAGGAATCTTATTTCAGTCGGAATCAGTACGAATGGAGTTGACTTTTTTGTCTTCGGTGCAACCCTTACCGTGGTTGAAGCATGGTATGTATCCCGATTGAGCCCTTCCAAGGGTGAACTTGCAGGAGGCACGATGTTGGATGTTGCTGGAAACAACTTTTTAGACTGTTCAGAAGGTTGTTGGTGCAGATTTTGCAGGAGTCAAAATGTAACGGCGGCCTTGATTTCATCAACGAAATTGAATTGCTTTTCACCAATTTTTTTCGGATTATTCATTTGTACAGTAGAACTTTCTGTCAATAACAATGACTTCTTCGATACTGGATTTGCGTTCCAGTACATTCAAAAGCCCTTCATCAGGTCAATTACCCCGTCGTTAGGAATGGAGAACTCTGAAACGTTCGTCACCGTGGTTGGGGACTCGTTCGGCCAACATGCTTTTTGTAAATACTCAGATGTTCTTTCAAGTGTTAATCTCTCAACCTCATCAACCATCTCATCAACCATTTCATCAACTCTCGTGATATGTATTTCACCCAACCTTGCCGTCGGAAATTACTTAATACAAGTAAGCAGCAACGGGCTAGATTGGAGCGAAGACCAAATACGTTTTCTATCCTTCTCATCACCCACCATCACTGACTTTCAACCAAATCTTGGACCAGTTTCTGGAAATAATGTCATAACACTCATAGGATACGAGTTTTTGTTCACAGACTTGGCCATGTGCAAGTTTTCAAACCTCGAAGTACCTGCTTCAGTTGTGTCAACAAATTCAATTGTTTGCACAGCCCCACCCTATGCAGCCGCAAGTGTGAATTTAAGCCTAGCTTTGGATGGTCAAAATTTTGTATTTGCGCCTCTGCCATACCAATACTCAATCTTTCCCATAATAAGTCATATTTTCCCATCAATTGGGCCTGTCAACGGAAGCACAATTGTAAATCTTTCTGGAACAAATTTCCCATTTTCATCTTCCGAAAATTTCTCCTGTGGATGCTTATTTGACTTTACCTGGACCACAGGCACTGTCTTGACGTCTTCCATTGTCACTTGCCCTTCACCTCCTCACGTTGAAAAAGAGATCTTGGTTCAAATTTGGCCAAGGATGTTCATGTTTCGAAGTAATCTTCAGTCTACAAGTTCCATTCCTTTTCTCTTTCTAGCTTCGCCTTTGATCAAGCAATTCTACCCAATAGTGGGGCCTTTAGAAGGCTCATTGGTCACAGTCATTGGGGAGCAATTCTTCAAGAATTCGCTGTCAGTCTGTCGATTTGGCGAAGTGATTGTCAACATGGTGGTTGTGAATGTAAATGAGGCTACATGCAGGTCTCCTGGAGCTCTGTCTGAAATATCCATACCCTTTGCGATTTCAAACAATGGTGTGGACTTCGTCGTGTCATCCATACTTTTTTCATATAGTTCCAGCATCCATATCATTTCAATTTTTCCAAGCTCTGGCCCACAAATTGGTGGATCTATCTTGGAAATCACCCTTGATCGCGATCTAAGTAATGCTACGGATGTAGTTTGCAAGGTGGGATCATCAGAGTGCATAAAATTGACAATTGCGAACAATACAATTTCTTGCAAGCTGGCAGTATTGAGTCAGCAGCATAATCCTATCATGGTTGCAGTGTCGACAATCAGTGCTAAAGGTGACTTTCTGTATGAGTCCTATCAACCTGAGCAAATTTTTAACATCTTTCCATCCATAGCAAAGCCACAAAGTGATCTGACAGTCTCAATGCAAGGTGGTTTCTTCGCAGTCAACAACTCAAATGCCTCTTGTGGCTTATCAAGCACTTTGAAATTTGAGACCACCGTGATATCAAGTTCTATGGTACTTTGCCACCTTCCTGCATTGGATATTTTGAATCTGCAGTTAAGATTTGCTAATAATGGATTGACTTTCAGTGAGAATTATGCCCTGCTTCGTTATCAGGAACTACCGTACCTGAAGGCCATGAGTCCATCTGAGGGATTCAGTCTTTCAGGAGAGCTTGTGTCCTTGCAAGGACAATCCTTCAATTCCGGCATGAAGTGTTCGTTTGGATTCAAGCACGTTGTGGCCGTCATCCTGACTAGTTCTCTTGCCACCTGCGATATTCCGGCGCACCCTCCTTCCGAAGTTCCATTCTCAGTCTTTTTGGAGGGCTCACGAGTCTCTTCAAATTTTTCTTTTCGATTCCTTGATACTCCAAGTGTGTTGAGCTTGTATCCTACCATTGGGCCACTTGCTGGGGGAATCAATGTTTCGATCCATTGGTTACATGACGATTTGATTGCAAATGAGGTAGTTTGCGTCTTTGGATATGTCACAAGCACTCTCGTCAGAGTGAACTCATCCACATCATGTTGCATTTTGCCCTCCAATGAAGCAGGTTTGAAATCCTTTGGTATACGATTCAAAAATCGTTTGGATTTCAAATCGAGCCACTTGTTCCTTTATAAGACGCAATCCGTTGTGCATCGGGTAAGACCATCTTGTGGCTCAGTTCAAGGTGGAAGTCAATTGAAGGTGCACGGAATTGAATTCCCTCCATCCTCTCAGATGCGCTGTCTATTTTCCGAAGTTGGACAGACAACAGCTACAATCATGAGCAGTACAGAGCTTGTTTGCAACTCCCCAAGGTCAGGTATAATAGGAATCGTGTTTTTCTCAGTCTCCTACGGTGAAGAAGAGTTGGTTGGTGATAATTCATTCTTGTTCTACCATGCGCCAATTGTCATTGGAATCAACCCGATGGTTGTTACAGCTGACAGCACGTCTGTCATTCTTATTTATGGCTCATCATTTTTGTCAGATATCGATTTGATTTGCAAATTTGGAGCTGTAGTATCTGAGAAGTGCGAATTCAGATCTTCCTCTCTTTTGCATAGCAGGCTTCCTGCTGTTAATGTGTCTTCAGTTCGAGTTGCAGTCTCGTTAAACTCTGTTGACTATGCGTTTAGCCCTGTTGAACTTCGCATCGTAAGTCCCTTGCGTATTCTCAATGTCAAACCAAGCGTGAGTAGAGCTTCAGGTGGAGAGCTCATTTCGATTTCTATGGACAAAGTTGCGATCTCAGAAAACTTGTCTGAACTCGTGTGCTCATTTAATGATACTACAGTCCTTGCTTCTTTCAAGTCTTCGGAACTCGTTCAATGTTTTACCCCACCCTCTATGGTGGGGACCGTGAATTTCAAATTGATCTCTAAACACATTTCGTCCAATCTGAACAAATTTCAATTTCTTACAGATTTAATGATCACATCGATTCAGCCAAGCACGGTTGAGCTGAATCGGGTTTCAATTCTAACTTTGTCTTACAGCGGAAATCTGAACTTTGAATTGTCGTGCTACATCACAAAGGGAGATTGCAGATTGGTCGATTACAATAAATCTCATCTAATATGTCATGTTTCTCCAGAAATTGAGGGGAAGGTCAGTCTGGAACTATATTCAAATGCGACAACGGCAAGCCTTGGAGCTAGTAATTTGTTTGTATACGGAAAGCTTGAAGTTCTTTCGGTTTTACCAACAACAATTCACGCCAACACAAGGTTCATGCTGACGATCTTTGGAAGTAACTTCATCCAATCCGCAAAGTTTTGTTGCAAGAGTGGCAAGAACGTACAGAAAGCTATATTTTTCACGAGCAGTCTTGCGAAATGTCATGTTTCACCATATGGCATATCATTTCTCAATTTGCAAGTCAGCAATGATTGCTCGAATTACATTGATTCGCACATCTTTATTCAGGTTCTCAGTCCGATCTTCTTGCTCCGGATAGAACCAAACTATGGATTTGCAGATGGAGGAAACATAGTCAAAGCTGTTATGGAAGGAGACTTGAACGCAAATTCATCATATTGCGTTTTTGGAAGCCAAGTTGTCATGGGCTCACGTCTCTCAAACTCGTTGATTGCTTGTGTTACTCCAGCATCAACTCTTGAATTTGTCCGTTTCACGATATCATTGGATGGTTACAACCTATTAGGCTCTAAGTTGAATTTTCAATTTATCAAACAACCATCGATCTTCAAATTGTTTCCCAGTGCTGTTGCAGCAGGTGGGGCGAAAATCACTGTTATCGGCTCTCAATTTGTGGATGGTAGTACGGGATGCGGAATCTCTGAAGATATGTATGTGGGGTATCGTTTCAGCTCAAAATATCTTACGAGCTCTATTTTGCATTGTGTCATAGGCAGATATCAACCTGGATCATTTCAATTTATCCTTTATACTTATGATCTGCCAGTGCGATCAACAATGTCCGACATAACCGTTTTCTCCGATCTGTGGGAAGTCAAGAGTTGGACTGTTTCATTTAGTCGTTCAGATCTTTTAGATATCTTAATTATGGGCACCAACTTTTCAACCAATGACAAAGCTTCTTGCAGGCTCAACGGTGTGCAAACAATGGCTTTGGTAATCAATTCATCAGTGGCAGAATGTCCTATTTCGTCATTGAATTTTTCGAAAGCAGTAATAGAATTTGAATCGAGCAATCATCAATCCACTGAGGTTGGAGAGCTACATATGCACCAGATTATTTCAATCTCTCCATCGATTGGGCCAACTCAAGGTGGTACTCGGATTTCCATCCTTACTACAGCAGTTGCAGGAAATGGATCTGGAACTTGCTACTTTCAAAACAACTTGGTATCCGCTAGCTTTGAAGCAGGATCTATTTTGACGACAGAATTGCCACAAGGGAAATCAGGAACAGTGCGATTGTTTTGTTATTGGCAATCAAGTGAAAGATCATTGACTGTT